AAACACAAAGGAGGCTGCCAAAATGAGGAAACAAATAAACATGGCCCAAATGAAACAACATATCAAAACCCCAGGAAAAGAGCAAAACAAAATAGAGATAAGCAATCTATCAAATGCAGAGTTCAAAACACTAGTAAGAAGGCTCAAGAAACTTTGTGAGAACCTCAGCAGCATAAAAAGGAATGACACAGAAATGAAGGACATACTAATGGAAATAAACAACAATTTACAGGAAATAAACAGTAGAATAGATGAAGCCTAGAATCAAATCAATGATTTGGAACATAAAAAAGGAAAAACGACCAATCAGAACAACGAGAAAAAAGAATCTAACTTCCAGCCAAGATGGAGGTGAGGTAGATATAATTTGCCTTCTTGCACAACCAAAAGAGGAACAACAACAAATTTAAACCCCCAAAACAACCGGAACTGCCAGAAAATCAAATTGTATGGAAATCTGACAACCAAGGAGTTAAAGAAAAAAACCTTCATCCATATTGGTAGGAGGGGCAGAAACTGGCAGCCGAGGCACAGAGGATGTGCAGTAAGCTGGCAGCTGGAAGACCTGGTGGTGTGGCGGCAGCTGGCGTAGCCCTGGCTGGTAGGGTTCAGTGGATTGAGTACAGGCTGCGAACCCAAAGGGTGGCCAGTTGGATTCCCAGTCAGGGCACATGCCTGGATTGCAGGTCAGGCTCCCAGTGGGGAAGGTGTGAGGAGCAGCCACATACTGATGTTTCTTTCCCTCTCTTTCTCCTTCCCTTCCCCTCTCTCTAAAAATAAATAAATAAAATAAAACAACCAGAGGTAACAATTGGAGAGTGAGACAGATTGCACAACCCAGAGACAGATTGCATTTTCCAGAGCAAAATAAAACCTCAAAACTTGTGGCTATATAACTTGTGGCGGTTGCAGCATCAGGAGAAACTCTCAGCCTCTCAGGAGAGTTCACTGGAGAGACCCACAGGTCCTAAAACGTACACAAACCCACCCACCCAGGAAATCAGCACCAGAAGGGCCCAATTTGCTTGTGGGTATCAGGGAAAGTGATTCAAAGCCCTGAGAGCTGAGCAAGCAGCACTGTTCCCTCTCTGACCCCTCCCCCGCATAAGTGCCACAAAGCAGTGAAGGGGGTAGCCCTGCCCTGGCCACTACCTCAGACTCCTCCCCTTACAACTTAACAGGTGTGCCGAGACAAAGAAACATGGCCCAGATGAAAGAACGAATCAAAATTCTGAAAAAAAGAAGCAATGAAGAGATGGCCAGCCTATCAGATGCAGAGTTCAAAACACTGGTAATCAGGATGCTCAGAGAAATGGTTGAATATGGTTGCAAAATGGAGGGAAAAGGCTATGCAAAGTGAAATACAGAAAAATACACAGTGAAGGGAAGGAAACTGGGACACAAATTAACTATTTGGAGCAGAAGTAAGAAATAAACATTCAACCAGAACAGAATGAAGAAACAAGAATTCAAAAAAATAAGGAGACTGAGGAACCTCTGGGACGACTTTAAACGTTCCAACATCTGAATTATAGGGGTGCCAGAAGGAGAAGAGGAAGAGCAAGAAATTGGAAACTTATTTGAACAAATAATGAAGGAAAACTTTCCTAATCTGACAAAGGAAATAAATTGCCAGGAACTTCAGGAAGCTCAGACAGTCCCAAAGAAGTTGGAGCCAAGGAGGAACATACCAAGGCACATCATACTTACGTTACCCAAGATTAAAGATAAGAAAAGAATCTTAAAAGCAGCAGAAGAAAAGGAGACAGTTATCTACAAAGGAGTTCCCATGAGACTATCAGCTGATTTCTCTAAAGAAACCTTACATACAAGAAGGGGCTAGAAAGAAGTGTTCCAAGTCATAAAAGGCAAGGACCTACATCTAAGATTGCTCTATCCAGCAAAGCTATCATTTAGAATGGAAGGGTAGATAAAGTGCTTCCCAGATAACGTAAAGGAGTTCATCATCACCAAGCCTTTATTATATGAAATGTGATAAGGGACTTATCTAAGAAAATGGAGATGATCAAAACTATGAGCAGTAAAATGACAACAAACTCACAACTATCAACTACTGAACCTCAAAAAAACCAAAAACAAACTAAGCAAACAACTAGAACAGGAACAGAATCACAAAAATGGAGATCACATGGAGGGTTATCAGTGGGGAGGAGCCGAGGGAGAATGGGGGAAAAGATACAGGGAGTAGGATAAATGGTAGGTACAAAATAGGGGAAGGTTAAGAATGGTAGGAAATGGAGAAGCCAAAGAACTTACATGTACGACCCATGGACATGAACTTGGGTGGGGCAAATGCTGGTGGGAGGAGGTGGAGGGAACTAAAGAGAAAAAGAATGGGACAACTGTAACAGCATAATCAATAAAATAGACTTCAAAAAAAAAAGGGGGCTCTGGCTGGTGTAGCTTAGTGGATTGAGCACGGGCCTGTGAAGCAGAAGGTTGCCGGTTCGGTTGCCAGTTTGGTTCCCGGTCAGGGCGCATGTCTGGGTTGCAGGCCCGGTCCCCAGTAGGGGACACATGACAGGCAACCACACACTCATGTTTCTCTCCCACTCTTTCTCCTTCCCATCCCCTCTCTCTAAAAATAAATAAAATATTTTTAAAAAAGGAAAAAGCCAAAAAACAAAAAATGAGGACAGTGTAAGGAACCTCTGGGACAACTTCAAGCATACCAACATTCACATCATACGGGTGCCAGAAGGAGAAGAGAAAGTGGAAGAAATTGGAACTCTATTTGTAAAAATAGTGAAAGAAAACTTTCCTAATTTGGTGAAGGAAGTAGACACGCAAGTCCAGGAAGCACAGAGAGTCCCAAACAAGACGGATGCAAACAAGCCCATTCCAAGACACATCATAAATAAAATGCCTAAGGTTAAAGACAAAGAGAGAATCTTAAAAGCAGCAAGAGAAAAGTAGTTACTTCCAGGGGAGTTCTCATAAGACTGTCAGCTGATTTCTCAAAAGAAACTGAAGGCTAGAAGGGGCTGGCAAGAAATATTCAAAGTCATGAGGAGCAGGGGCCTACAGCCTAGATTGCTCCACTCATCACTTAGAATGGAAGGGCAGGTGAAGGACTTCCTGACACGTGCACTGGCTCCAAGTGCCCGCGGCGTCGCGGATGAGACCTGAGACGAATTCACACGGACTACCGAGTCCCATGGAGGGAAAGGGACGGCATGGCTACTCTCTTAAGCGGGGAGAGCCTCAGAACAGCCTAGCCACCCTCTCAAGGGGAGAGCAGCTTGGAGCGGCCGGGCAACTCTCTCAAGGGGAGAGAGAGTGCACTGACCCTTGTCTAGACAGGCTTTTATTGTTTTTTTTGCACAGGAGTTCAGGTACAACTTATTAATCACTGTCAAGCAGTAAACAGTAGATAGTCTATAAAGAACCATTAGGGCTTCTCATAAGTCAGGGCCTGTCAGCTAAAAGGCTACAGAACTTTGGGAACATAAACTCTTTTTCTGCCGGGCCTTTATCATTGAACTAAAAGCATTCTTATCAAAGCAGACTTCACAGGATTGTTAGGAATTCTTTCCTTTGCCAGATCGCCAAGGGGAAGCCGCCATTCCCAGCACAAGGCTGCACCGCCCTCTGTCATTGTTTTCAGGCTTCAGTCAGGCAGAGGAGGCAGCCAAAGAATTTTCGGAGACTTCTTGCAGACAGACTGAGGACTCAGGCTTCATCAAAGCTGAGGGGCAAGGGTCCATCACCCCCTTTCTCCATGGCCCCCAAGTCCTTCCCTGGGGCCTCCATGTGATCATGCCTGTCTTAGGTGGTTCCCCCCTTGGGGAATCTCACTTGTCACTGGCTAACTGATCAAGCATTGGAGGCCAGTTGTGGATGAAGGAGCAGAAGCGGTGCTCCTGCCAGGGAGATAAGCTTTGTCTCCTTAGTGGCTTATGGTCTGAAGGTCGCATACTCAGCCTTATCCACGGGGGGTTTCAACTCCTGAAACCAGGCAGGGCGGTCCCCAACAACTTCCCAGACAAAAAAAAATCTAAAGAGTTCATCATCTCCAAAGCATTATTATATAAAATGTTAAAGGGATTTACTTGAAGAAGACCAAAACTATGAACAATAAAATGGCAATAAATACATAGGTATCAATAATTGAATCTAAAAAATAAACTAAGCAAACAAGAACAAAAGACAGAATCATGGAAACAGAGAGCATTTTGTGGTTGCCAAATGGAAGGGAGGTGTTGGGGGCTGGGTGCAGAGGCGAGGAGATTAAGAAGTACAAATTGGTAGCCATGGGGGTGTAAAGTACAGTATAGGAAATGGAGTAGCCAAAGAAGTTATATGCATGACCCAGGGACATGAACAAAGGGGTGGGGATTACCTAAGGGAGTGGGGAGTGCTGGGTAATGGGGGCAAAGGAGAAAAAAACGGAGGCAACTCTAATAGCATAATCAATAAAATACCATTTAAAATAAAAAAATGGGTAAAAATTATGCCTTAAGAGAGGGACCTAGCAGACTGAGAGACTAGGGTCAGAGGTTGAAGGGAAATTCATTTTCACAGTATACCATCGTGGACTCCTGAAACTGTCTACCCCGTGTAGGAATTCCTAGTCAGAAGTGTGACGAGATGATCAGTGCAGCTATAGCACAGAGCGTGGACTACAGGGACGGGGGACAGCAGTGTACGTTTCAGGGAACAATTAGGGAGAAAAGCACTCACACATATCACTAAAGGAAAGAAAAATAAATTGACACTACACTAAATTCCAGTTTAAATGCATTGGATGAAAGGATGCCATGCAAATTTGTGAATTGTTTCATATTTTTTATGTACGTGCACGGAAAAAATGCTGACAAATTACACATTAATCCCAAAGTATGAAAGCGAACACTGATATTAGAAATGATTTTTGTTTCTACTTTATGCTTTTCTGTTTTCCCCATGTTTCCTACGGTGAATGTTACACCTTTCATAATGACAAAGACCAGGTTTGTGACGAGAGAGAGGAGCCATACCTTATGCAGACTGGTCATGCCATCGTCATCCACCAGCCTGGGGTTGGACCCATGGGAGAGCAGGAGCCGTGCAATCTCCGTGTGCCCACAGTAGCTGGCCCGGTGCAGGGCGGTGGCACCCCCATGTGTCTGGGCATCACACTTGGCCCCGTTTTCCAGCAGAAACTGGCACACTGCGTAGTGCCCGTTGCGGCTCGCATAGTGCTGCAGGGAACAGACTGCGGTCAGACGGGAGGACCAAGCAGGTGACTTGGTGGGGAGGGGCGGCCCCGGATCCCCCAGGGACTACCTCCACCTGCTGTGTGACCTGGGTCAATGTCTGCGTGTCTGCCATCAGTTTCCTCAATCATTTCTACCTCACAGGAGTGATGGAAATGAAAGTAAATGACTAATGTAAGGTACTTATCCCCTAACTAAAAACCCAGTTTCACGTGACACTTAAGAGAGAAACCCTGCCCTGACTGATGTGGCTCAAAGGGTTAGGTGTCCTCCTGCAGAGTGAAAGGTCAACAGTTCCATTCATTCCCAGTCAAGGCACTAGCCTGGGTTGCAGGCCAGGCCCCCGGTTGGGGGCACGTTGGAAGCAACAGATGGATGTTTATCTCTCGCATCGATGTTTCTTTCCTCCCTCTCTTTATCCCTCATTTCCCCCTCTAAAAAAAGATAAATAGGCCCCAGTTGGTGTGGCTCAGTGGATTGAGCACTGACCTGTGAATCAAATGTTCTCAGGTTCGATTCCCAGCCAGGGCACATGCCTAGGTTGTGGGCCAGGCCCCTGGTTGGGGGTGAGTGAGAGGCAAACCACACAGTGATGTTTCTTTCCTTCTCTTTCTCCTTCCCTTCCCCTTTCTCTGAAAAATAAATAAAAGCTTAAAAATTATTTTTAAAGGAATAAATAAATATATAAATAAAACCTTAGAGAGAGAGAGTGGAAGAAACCCTGCTGGGAGAGAAGGGAGAAGACAAAGACTAAGGTGGGATTCGATCCCTCTGTGAGGCAGGGGTCCCCAGGCTCACACTAAGTTCCTCCCCACTCACCAGAGCAGTGTAGCCAGCCACGTCGGGCTGGCTAGGGTCTACTGCCTTCTGAATTAAATACTTCACTCGGCCCAGGTCTCCATTCAGGGCTGCTGACCAGATTCCTGTGGAAAGACAGCCAAAGTACGAAATGATCCTGAATGAGGACTTTTTATATTTTTTAGGATTTTATTTATTCATTTTTTGACAGAGAGGAAGGGAGGGAGAAAGAGAGGGAGAGAAGCATCAATGTGTGGTTGCTTCTCACATGCCTCCTACTGGGGACCTGGCCTGCAACCTGGGCATGTGTCCTGACTGGGAATCAAACCAGCAACCTTTGGGTTCACAGGCCTGCACTCAATCCACTTAGCCACACTAGCCAGGGCTGAATGAGGACTTTTAATGTTTCCTTTACCTCTTGATCTTCATGTTTTTCATCTAGTAAATCATAAAAAGTGGGTGCCTGGTAAATATTCATTTACCAAATATTAACTGAGCAGTTCCACTGTGCCAAGGATTGTCCTAGTTGTTGGTGACGTAGCTGTGAACCAGACACGGAGCTTGTTGGCCAGGGCAAGAGGCCTGAGCAGACACAGAAACCCCTTCTCCTCACTTCAAACACACATATGTTGAGTAACGTTTAACATATGTGCGCAGCACAGAGCCCTGCAGCAGCCCCGGCCCTGAGGCCCGAGGGCAGGAGCTGCCCTTGGACTCCGTGCCGTGGTTCCAATCTGCTCTCCGTGTGTAAATTCACAGAGAAACGTGAATGGATAACAACAGAAAATGGAACAGTGGAAATCAGAAATTTTGTACCAGCATATTTGGGAGATGTGGTTTACTGTAATCTGCCTGAAATTGGGACAAAACTGAACAAACAAGATGAGTTTGGCGCTTTGGAAATTGTGAAAGCTGCTAGTGAACTTGATTTTCCTCTAACAGAAGTAACTGAAAATAATGAAGCTCTTGCAGAAAATCCAGAACTTGTCAACAAATCTTATGAAGATGGTTGGCTGATCAAGATGACACTGAGTACCCTTCAGAAGTAATGAACTCATGAATGAAGAAACATATGAGAAATACATAAATCTACTGGAGTGAAAACAGAACCCCCCTAAATAAAGTAGTACGAAATAACTTAATCTAGCATTGTTGTCTTAAATAGTGCTGGACAGAAATTTTAGAACAGCAACTTTTAGTCATACCAAAGGGAAAAGAAAGTACAGTAATGCTATTGGAAGAAAATACCCCTTAACTTTCTAATGATTATAGATAATCACAATTTGCATCTTTTTTTTTTTTTACAATACCCTATGATTTTTAGGCTGGGCTAAAGTTATTCAGAATTCCCAAAATTACCTGTAGTGAAATGTAGTGACAATATTATCTTGAAATACATAATTATAAAAATTATGTATTTCTAGTGAAATACATAATTTTTATAATTATGTATTTCAAGATAATATTGTCATCTTAAGCCTTATGTAATATTGTAACCTGCTTACATCAGTCTCTGGATTTGGGTCAAAATACTTAATGAACTTTCCATTGGAAATAACTGGCAATGGAGAAAAGTTTTTGTTAGCTGTTACAGTGTCAGATGATGAACAGTACTATCTTCATTTAGCAATATACTGAGTTTGCTGGTGCTATTTAAAAAATTTTTAAAGGATTTTATTTATTAGTTTTAGAGAAGGAAAAAGAGGGAGAAAGAGAGGGAGACAAAGATCAATGTATGGATGACTCTCATGCATCCCCAACTGGGGACGTGGCCTACAATTGAACTGTGACCCTTTGGTTCACAGGCTGCCGCTCGGTCCACTGACTGAGCACACCAACCAGGGCTGCTGGTGCTATTATTACACAGTGAAGCAGCAGCCTTGAGGGGAAACAAGACAGTTTAATAATAAAATGCTCAACTTCTTTATTAAAAAAATAATAAAATAAAATGTACAGTCAAATTCAACAGCAAGAAGAGGACACTGCCAGGTGCCAGAACAAGGTGAAAACCACAGCCAAAGTGGTGAGCCAGTGCGGAGACCGGAGGATCCAAGGAGCCCTCAGAACTAGACACACCCCTCAGAGGCTTGGGTCCCAGGCTGGAGCAGAGTCTGGGCCAAAGACTGCAGGCCACGTGCAGGGCAGGGAACTAGATAAGGCTCTGTGCACAAGGCCAGGAGCAGGCACGACATGGACGATAAACCAGCAGTGAAAAATCTCCACTCTCCTACCCTGAGTAGAAGCAGGAAGCAAGTCGACATGCCCTTTACTCTTTCAGCAAGTATTTGCTGAATACTTACTATGCACCTGGCACTATTCTGAGTACTAAGGGTCAGCTGGGGACCCCCCCAAATCTTGGTCTTGTGGAGCTTATATTCTAATTAAAAGAGACAGGGAAAAAATAAACAATATTACACACACACACACACACACACACGCACAAAATAAGTCGGGTGGTGCTAAGTGCTATGAAGAGAAACACATTTTGCTCTGTATAATGTGCACTTTTTTTGCTCAAATTTTTGAGGGAAAAATAAGAATGTGCATTATACATGAGTAGTACCTAATACCTTGCATCTGTTCTTTTACTTTGTATTTGTTACGTAAAATCTCTTGTACCATACATTTGAAAATAAATGCTAAAATTCCTTTATAATACAAAAAACAAGTATCTAGCCCTGGCTGGAATGGCTCAGTGGACTGAGTGCCGGCTTGTAACCCAAGAGTCGCCAGTTCGATTCCCAGTCTAGGGCACATGCGTGGGTTCCAGGCCAGGTCCCCAGTAAGGGGCACCTGAAAGGCAACCACACAGTGATGTTTCTCTCCCTTTCCCTCTCTAAAAAAATAAATAAGTAAAATCTTAAAAGAAAAAACCAAACCAAGTATCTAAATATAAATAAAGAAATAATTGAGTTAAAAAATTAAATTGAAAGCTTTTTTTCTGAAAGTTTGGGCCAAAAACACGGGTGCACATTATTCACAGGAGTGCATAATACATGGCAAAATATGAGTGAAGCAGAGAAGGAATATAGGCAGTGGTCAGGGATGGCATCTCTGATAAGGTGACGTTTGAACAGAAACCTACAGGCAACGAGAAACAGCACCATTTGAATACACGTGAGAAGACAGCAAAGGCAGAAAAAAACTAAAAAATCAAATGCTCTGACCTATGCAACCTGGAGGTGTGGGACTTTTATTTACCTACATTACCCTTAAAGAACAAACCCCCAATTTAAAATCTGTCATAAAACTGATCCAGACAAGTGAACCCTATAAGGGCCAGGCAGAGGCAACTTTTAAAAATGCCTTATAAGCCCTGGCCACGGTGGGTCAGTTGGTTGGAGGGACATCCCATAGACCAAAGGATCATGGGTTTGATTCCTAGTCAGGGCACATGCCTGGGTTGCAGGTTTGGTTCCTAGTCAGGGCGTGGTGTACAGGAGGCAGCTGATTGATATTTCTCTCTCACATCAATGTTTCTCTCCCTCTCTCTCTCTTCCTCCCTTCCCTTCTCTCTCAAATCAATAAGCATGTCCTTGGGTGAGGATAAAAAATATAAATTAATTTTTAAAAAGTGCCCTATAAGAATGCATCCATTAGCCAGCAAAGGTTATCTGTGAGAATCTCTTACAAAAGAGTTACAGCCCTCCAGTGAGGTCAAAGATTAGAAAGTAGCAAGCAAGAAGCAATCCATTACCATGCAAGACATTCAGCAAAACGAGAAAATGCATGCTCCAAATCCTGACCATAATGGTATAATCTAAGACTTCAAAACATTTTAATGTGTTCATGGAGATAAATGAATGGAATCCACAAATCAACAGAACGTTAGGGGAAAGAGCAGGCAAAGGAAACAAAAGTCAATAAATTAAAAAGTAGAATCATTAAAATAAAACGATACAGTTTAACAGCACCGCAGATCCAGCTGAAGAGAGAATTACTGATTTGGAAATCACCCAGAATAAGGAATGGTAAAGAGAAAAATATTCAATAGGTAAAGAAACACAGAAGACAGAATGTATCAAAATATGTCTAATGCAGGTTTCAAAAAAAAAAACAACACAGAGAGGAAATGTTTTAGGAGGGAACACCTGAGAATTATCCTGAAGTAAAGACAAAAATAAACTCTCAGACAAAAACTACATTATAAGCCAAGGAGGATTAATGAAGACAAACATGACATGGTGAAATGACTGACCCTCAAGAATTTTAAAAAGCCCCAACTGGCGTGGCCCAGTTGGTTGGGTGTCATCCTGCATATCAAAAGGACACTGGTTTGATCCCTGGTCAGGGTACATGTTTGGATTCTGGATTTGGTTCCCTGCTGGGGTGTGTACAAGAGACAATCAATCCAAGTCTCTCTAGCACACCAATGTTTCTCTCTCATATCGATGTTTCTTTCTCTCCCTTGTCCTCTCTCTAAAAATAAATAAAATCTTTGAAAAAATTCTCACCCACTACAGAATTATGATCAGATTATCAGAATTCTTAGCAGCGGTAGGTACAAGAATGTAAAGGAGTAATATTTCCAAAGGATTGAGTGGAAAAAATAACTGTCAACCTGGACTTTTATTCCAGCTAAACTCCCCTTCAACTGTGTCTGTGTGTGTTTGTATGGTGGGAAGGCATGGCCACTGAAAAAAGCGATTAAAGGATATATATACTTCAGGGAAAAGAAAAATGAACTCAGAAGGAAGATATGAAGAAAAATGTCCACACAACAAAAAAGATAAGGACATTTTCCATGTGTGCAAAATAAATGATGAGCAAGCAAACAAAACACAGATACACCTTTTCTTGCACTTTACCTTATTGCGCCTCACAGATGTTTTGTATTTTACAAACTGAAGGGAAGACCCTCCATCAGCAGAAGGATTACAACTCGCTTTATCGAGATATTTCCTTTTACAATGGTCTGGAATCACACCTGCAGTGTCTTCGAGGTGTGCCCATAATGTCAGATTGTAAAAATTGCTCTGATGGAAGCAAGGTGGTTTGTCAGAGTAACCTGGAGGCAAAGGGGCCCTACTTCGCACGAGGCAAGATTTCTTTCTCCGCAGCAGCACAACTGACAGTGTGGGCCAGATAATTCTGTGTTGGGTAGCTGTTCTGTGCATTGTGGGCTGCATGCGGCACCTCTGGTCTCTGCCTACTAAAGGCCTGTAGCACCCTCCTAGTTGTAACAACTGAAATTACTCTAGACGTTGTCACGGGGCACAACTATCCTAGCTGAGATCTACTAGTTCTCACTACTCCTGAGACCCGTCAAGGAACCGTGGGGAGAGGTGGAGGAAAGAAAGCAGGTGAGAAAGGTGTGATTTATCCGGTCCCACGGATAAATAACACGGCAGCTCAAAATGGGTTAGTTCCGCAGTGGCTGGTGTAGCTCAGTGGCTAGAGTACGGCCCTGTGAAGCAAAGGGTAACCGACTGGATTCCCAGTCAGGGCACATGCCTGGGTTGCAGGCCAGGTCCCCAGTAGGGGACACATGAGAGGCAAGCACACACTCATGTTTCTCTCCCACCCTTCCCCTCTCTCTAAAAATATATATATATTTATTTATATATATAAATATATAAATATATATATAAATATATAAATAAATAAATATATATATATATTAAAGAGTTCCCCGCACACTGCTGCCGCCTGCTCCGCAGCTCCATCCCCAGCATGGGCGCACATCCCCAGGCGCCCCTCTCTGACACCCCGAGAGGCCCAGCTTCCCTCCCTGCGCGCCGGTCCGTTTCCAGTGGCCGAGCTCATGCCAATGTCGGACGAGCTCTTGGCGACCCGGGGCCTCCAGCCCTCGACCGCCCCGGGCCCCCTCCGGCTCTGCGCTCGCCTCACCCCTCTCGAAATCCATCTCATCCAGCGTCTGCCGCGCGCCCGAGTGAGTGCAGCAAAGACCTTCGGCGCAGGGACCTGGAGCCGCCATGCCCGCGCTGTCGAGTCTGGCAGTAGGGAGGGCACCACCCCGCCGTCCGCGGGACCTGATCGGTTGGCGTTCGCGGACCGACGTCCAATCAGGCACCGAACTCTCTCTCTCCCGCGGGAGCCAATCGGGCGGCCAGGCGAGACCCGGGCTGCGCGCCTCCTCGAGGACGGCCGCGAGAGGGCGTCCCGTGCTCAGCGGCGCCTGCGGCACCACCCCAGTCCGAGGGGCCGGGGAGGGGTAGGCGCCAGGCGGGGCACTTCAGTGTCTCTCGCTAGAGCCAGCCCTGCAGGGGTGTCACCTAGTCCCTGGGACTCCCAGGGCAGGGAAACGCCGCCTCTAGGTCTTTCTCTACCTTTCCCGCAGCACCAAGGGCCAGGAAGACGGCTGACCGCGGCTACTTGAAAGACCTCACGGCATGATCCTCTCCTCCGGCTCTTCTGGCCCATTTCGGCCCCTTTTTCTTTTTGTGTGTGTGCCCTGACCAGGAATCTAACCCGCGACCTTTCAGTTCACCAACCGGTGCTCAATCCACTGTGCCACACCAGCCAGGAATGGCCTGTTTCTTGAAAACCCATGGAAGGCAGGAGCCACCAAGAGCAACAATGGTAAACCCAAGAGCAAAGAAAGGGCCTTTAGTTTGTGTGGCCCTCCCACGCTCCACTGCCCACTGTGGGCGCCTAGGACACTCAAGGCCTCTTCAGGCCACGGCAGACCGCCCCCCCCCCCAACAAGTCATGTTTACAGGACTCTTCACTTCCAGTCTGTGGATAATTTACACAGTCCAGGCTGGTTTTTGTTTTTTTAGATTTTATTCATTTATCTTTAGAGGGGAAGGGAAGGAGAGAGGGAGAGAAACATCAATCTCGTGTGTCCCCCCGCTGGGCACTGGCCTGCAACCCAGGTAGGTATATGTCCTCACTGGGAATTGAACTGCGGTTGTTTGGTTTGCAGGCCAGTGGTCAATCCACTGACTCACACCAGCCAGGGCTGGTCCATTTTTCTTGTATCTGTGCCCTGTACCACTGCTTGCATAGGACAGTGGCTTGGTGAGCACTGGGTGGCTCTGGGTCAAGTCTCACGTCCCACGAAGCTGAAACATTCCTGGCAACTAGAAGGCTAGTAATAGCTCTTCCTCGCCCTAAGATCCGTGGGAGCCCCAGCCTCCCAACTCGTAAGGTTGTGAGCCAGTGCACACAGCCTTAAGGGGCTTCCAGGAAGTTCCCCTCCTTCCGCCCTCCTTCCCACTTTCCCTCCCCAGAGTTCTGAGAAGTCAGCTCCTCTTCTGCTTTGACTCCCAATTCTGACTTCTCCCGCTGGCCAGAGGCCAAGGGTGGCTCCCAACAGGCCTTGGCCCTGGCCTGGTTCCCAGCCCCGCAGCCAGCATGGTGGGAAATCACTGGAAGAAGGGGAGCCGCTCCAGGACTACAGGGAGGTGGGGGGTCCAGCCTGGCTCGGCCCACAGGGAGCCTTCTCTCTTGAGACCCAGGTTTCAGCCCAAATGTCTCATCCCAGTCACTTTTATTTTCTTCCTTTTATTTGTCAATATAAAAATACTCAAATATTTACAACAAATAAATACGTAGGGACACAATAAGTTACAGTTAGAAGCCCTCCTCCAGGGCTGGGAGAGGCTATGCCGTATCTGTAGCATGCCCACCCTCTCTCCCCCTCCCCCCACACCTCTCCCAGCCCTGTGAAGGAGGCCAAGTATAAAATATCACTGGACCCCAGGGCCACGTGGGAGGCCCCTCCCCGCTTACCCCCAAACACACGGGAGACTCCACTCCCTCCCCAGAACCCTGAAAACTTTCACAACCCTAGGAGCAGGACTAGGCCCACCCCAGAGCCCTGCACTCCCCCCAGGGGTACAGCACCCTGCCCAGCCCACCCCCATATGTACATCCCTGCCCCTCCCTGGGGACAGCTGGGGGTAAGAGAAGCAAAGCGATCGACCCCTTCCCCTTCATAGCTCCAATGACTCACCAGGAGGACCCCAGGCCAAGGGAAGACTCCACAGACACAGGAAGACTGTGCCACACAAACACACCCGTGTGCACACACACATACACAAACACACCCACATCTCCAACTTCTGCCTTGAAGTTTTGGCTGCTGGGGTCCCATGTGTCCGTGATTCACAGCCCCTCACAGAGAGGAGGAAGACGCCTTCTGGGCGGCTGGTGCCTTGGTGAGCCACACCAAGTGGCAGTGCCCGTGCTGAGCAGAGCAGGTCCTCATGGGCGGGCAGGTGCTGGGCAGCGTCTGTCCCAGTAGAGCAGGTGCCCGCGCCATGTCCCTGAGGTAGCTGGTGCCTGTGCAAAAGTAGGAGCCACAGCTCCCAGGCTGCCCCACCAACGTGGTGGGGCTCCCTCATACCGAGGACTCCTCGGGGTTGGAGTCTGGCAGGGGCTGGCGCTGATGTAGTTTACGCCTTAGTTCATCTGCCAGCTCAGGCAGGGGGTGCCCAAGCCCCTCGCCGTGGTCCTCCCCACCTAGCTGTAGGCGCACATAACCATTGGCATTTGAGTTCCGCCCACCCCCCAGGTGAAGCCGAGTCGGGGATGGCAAGGGCTGGCCAGGGATGCCAGGAGGTGGGGAAGGTGGCCCAGTCGCAGGCTGGCACCGAGCGTGTCCAGGCACAATCTTGAGGGAGCCATCTGAGTAGTAGTAGCCAACAGGGTCCCAGAGTTTCTCGTCGGTCTCAGGGCCAGGGCGGAAGGGGGGGCTGGTGGGTTCCTTGGGAAGCTCCAGAGGGTACACCAGGGTTCTCTCTGCTGCCTTGGCTCCTTTCTCCAGCTCCTCCCTCAGCCGACGACGCAGTGACAAAACAAGCAGCAGCAGCACCAGGCACACGGCCCCGAGGGCCACCACAGCCAACCACACCAGCCCTAGGTTTTCCAGGGGCGCCCGGGCCTCCAGAGTCAATGAAGGGCCTGCCACCACAGCGACCAGGTAGCCTTCCGCAGCCAGCCGTGCCCCCTGCTCCTCTGAAAAGCAGTGGTAGGCCCCCGCGTGGCGGGGCTGGGCAGCCATCACAACGAGGGCCTGTAGTCGAGCATCGTAGAGGAAAGAGCCAGGCTGTTCTGCAGGCAGGTCCCGGCCCCCAAAAGTCCATCGGGCATGGGCGAGGTTGGAAGACAGGCGGCAGGGCAGTACCAGGTCTGTGCCCGCCACCACTGTGATGTTTTTGGGCGTGAACCTGACTGCAACGGCCGGGAAAGGAGAAGGTCCAGAGTTAGTGCAGGAAACCCTGGGCCAACACACTCCAGCTCCGGCCCAGGGCCCATCCCACTGGGAGGAGGACAAAGGACAACTCACCTTTCTTACTGCCACGGAAGTTACAGATGCCTGAGGTGTCTGAGACCATCACTTGCTGGATCAGCAGGGACCTGGTTAGGGAAGCAGGGTCCATCAGCATCCCTGTTCCAACCACCTGCCTTCCCCTCCCGGTCCCAATAGGAGCAGAGCCCTGCTTACCCAGAGTGGCCACCCGCAGCCACACAGCGGCTGGTATTGACGCTCCAGGCACAGTACGGGTCCCGGGCGAGGATGCAGTCTGCACAGGAGCGGTACTTCACACAGTCAGCCAGGGGCAGCTGAACCAGTTGTGAGCGGGAACCTGCAAACAGCAGCCTCTGCAAAGAGAAGCAGAGGGCATGGGAGGGTCAGCTGAGCCTAGACACATCCTGGACATGGGCGGGACCGCTGGGGGGCAGCGCATGGCCAGAGACCAAAAGAAGGGAGAAGCAAGGACGGAAATAGAAGCACCAAAGACCCCGTGGAGGGCTTACTACAAGCCAGGGGCCATCCTAAGCACCTTAGAGACAATCTTATTGGAGAGGAACAGGGCTGTGGGGCTGAGTATAATCACACACACAGCTCACACACAGCTCCAGCACAGTATGATTAAACAGCACGGGAAGTACTGTTTTCTGTGAGGCCCATCAAGCCTTCAAAATAGTAGCAGCATAGCATAAGCTGTTTTCCTGTTTGAAAGGTGATTGCCAATCTGCCATTATTCCATATTCTGGGAAACAACTTAAGCCACGATAGCTGGTAAAAGGCGAGCACATGCAAGTGCAGGGTGTCACAACAGGCCAGAAAAAGGTAAGATACCTGCAGCACCTCAGGAAAGTGGGAAGGCGCAGGGGTCAGGAATGGGAGGGGCAACGCAACCACACAGGGGCGTGGCTGCACACACAGCCTACAGAGCGCAAGATCCGTTGGGACTCTGATTTCCCAGAACTCGCCCCAAGCTACCCGAGCTGTGCTAGAGTGCCTCCCCAGCCCTGAAGGAGCCACGCACAAGACTAAGAAAGGTGGGGGAACAGCTGCCGGTGGGGCCCGATTACTACCTTGCTCCGGGCCAGGACCAGGCTTTTCATGGGCTCCTGGTCAAACACCTGCAGCTCCTCAATCAGGTGGACCCAGGGCCCCAGGCTCACAGCCTTAAGCAGCCAGCCATCTCCTGGGAGAGAGGGGGAAGGACAGAAATCAAGAAGGGGACAGGGGCCCCGGGGCAGCCCCAGATCACCCTATCCGGACACACGGGCCTTCGGCCAGCCTCCAGCAGCCAGCCTACGTGCCTACCTGTGCCAATGAACAGCACTGTGTAGGAAGCTCCGTCGAGCCCCGTGACCCGGTCCACCACCAGGTGAGTGAAGTTGGTGTCCTTCTTTACAAGCAGGGGTCGGCCCCAGCGAGGCCTCACCTTCTCTTCCATCAGAGGGTGTTTCTTGATGAAGTTGAGGGTGTTGTCAGGCAACTCCAGAGAACTGGTGTAGCCGTGCAGCCGGTGCCAGTCATTGATGCACTGGGGGGTTGAGGGTAGAGGAGAGCGGTCAGCCTGTGGGAGTGGCACCGGGGTGAGGGCGGTGGCACACGCTTCCCTGGACAACTCACCGAGCCCGGCCTCGGGCTGGGTATGGGGTCAGTATAGAGGCCCCACTTCTGGGACTGCTCGCGGTACTCCTTGTAGGGACCCTCGAACACCTTCTGGATCTCTCCCAGCTGGTACTCGCAGATGGCCGACAGGTCCACGTCGCCCCTGTCACAGCAAGGGCGGGACCCCAAGGGTCAGGGTTGGTGCCCACTTTACCCCAGCTCAGGGCAAGTCGGGGGAAGGCAGGGTCCAGCACAAAGCGGTTACGGGCACACACAGTGTGGTATGTGCCGTCAGGGGCAGTGCACTGGCCCATCTCCCACTGGGAGCAGATGCCCAACATCCTCCTTGGCTTCCAGAAAACTGGCCAGCTGGACTTGCCCAGAGGCCTGTACCATAAACCGCCCCTCACCTGAAGACCTGCTCCTTCCCGCCCCCAGGGATTCCTGGCCAGCTCACCATCGTGCCCGAAAAACCGCAAAGAAGGTGGTGTTGTGCCAGGAGGCATCCTGCAGGGTGTACAGCGCCTGCAGCTGGTTGAGGTAGAGGTGGCGACTAGGGGCTGAACACACCAGCTGTGCCTTCAGGAAGGTGGTCCACTTCTTCTGCAGGGTCCGTGCGCCCCCCATGTCTCCCTGGCAGATGACAAAGGAACGCTGGCAGTCAGCCCTGCGCAGCCAGCAGGGACCCCAGTGCCCGCCACCACACGCTGCCGTACCTTGCAGACTCGAGCCACTCGGGCCACCACCTGCTCCATGTAGCAGTCGTACTCCAACGCCCGCTCACTGAAGAAGAAGTAGACCTTGTCGTCGTCCCCAGTGAAGCTCCCCACGCTCTCCGGGACATAGGCAGAGCCAACAAAATGAGGTTCTAAGGGAAGGGGAAGAGGCTCCGTGAGGCCCTAGTGGCGGCCTTCGCCCCCAGAGCTCTCCCAGTCCCCGTGCCAGCTCCTCAGGGCTCACCATTGAGCCAGAAGGCCAGGTACTCTGTCTTAACCGGGTGGTGAGGTCCCATGTTACGCAGGATAACAGGCTCTGTGCCCAGGAAGTTGTTGAGTGTAGCCGAGTATAGCTCGCCGTCTACGGAGACACAGGGTCAGCCAGGCCAGAGAGAGGTGAAGGCACTACACTCAGGCCATGTGCTCCCGGATGGGAAGGAGTCCTAGGAGCATCACTCAGCCTACAGCGGGGTAGGCACTCACCCACAAGGAGGCCAGCATGGCCCTTCGCTGGGTCATAGGGGCACCTCCCCTTCCCATCCTCGAAGGCTCCACGCTCCAAGGTAAAGGTGACTATATCCTGGGACAAGGAAGATATGTAGAGTGAGATGCAGAAGGCCCAGCACCCAGAGCAGTGCAAGGAGTTAGAAGGAAGAGTGCAGCACTCACGATGTAGGTGCACTTGGGCTGGAAGGCATAGGTGCCACATGCATACAGGTGGGATGCGTTATACGGCTGTAGGAAGCGGATGAAATTGAAACACTCCGTCTGGAAAGAGAAATGGATCCAGTTAAAAGACAAGGGCCTGAGAATGGGGTCACGGGGACCAAGACCAGGTCCCAGACCTGTACTGGCACAAAGGGAGCCCTAGGCAGAGAGTGTGAGCCATGACGCCCAGCCAGGGGGAGGCAAAGGGTCCTGCCCACCCCCGCCCCTCTGGGTTTGTCCAAGCACCCACCCGGTTATTCTTCCCTTTCTGGATGCACTCGGTCTTCTTCTCCACAGGTGCCTCCCATGAGATCTGGGGACAGGGAGGGGGCAGATCAGTAACATCATAGGTACAGACTTAGCATGGCCTGTGACAGCCACATGAAGACACCAAGTGACAGTACGTGGTCCCCACTCCCTGGGATCTTATTTCAGGAGAGGACATAGGCCCCAAACAGCTCCACAGCAGCAGGAACCAGTAAGTGCTGCAGATGGGAAGGCAACTCTCGCCCACTACCAAAGGCTGCCTTGCAGACCCAGCAAGATTCCCAAGGGGGGGGATGTGGGGTGGGCCAGCCGGGCTGAGCAGCAGCCTGACCCAGAGAAGCCCCGAGGTCACCCGCCTGTGTGCCTCCCACTCCCCCACCTCTCACCACTCCTTGTAGCTCCAGGGCCTCCACGCTGAAGGCAAACAAGGCCTCCCGGGCCCCCACGTACAGAAGCCCGGTCTGCTCAGTCAGGGTCAGCGTCAGAAAGTCCTGAATGCCCGTTTGGGAGAACCGCCGCACCACTGTGGCCAGCTCTGCAGGGACAAGATGGCAGAGAGCATGGCTGTGGACAGGCAGGCCTTACTAGAGCTCTAGGCACCCCCATCCCCACTTGGAATCAGTTTTCCTCTGTACTAGACATTTTCAACTACTGTGCCACAGAAATTTTTAAAACAGGGGCACTGACTTCTTCTCCTTTGTATGGTCAAATAAAAAAATGACAACAGCCAACAACAGCTGTCCAGTGTGAATGAATCAAAAATATACCTATTTAAAAAATTTATTTAATTGTTGTTCAAGTAGTTTTCTGTCTTTTACTCCCATCCCAGCCCACCCCGGCAGTGCTCCCCACCTCCCCCCCAAAATACCTATTTTTTCGACAGATCAGCAAAAAATATATTTTTTGGTGTGCCACAGAATTTCAGTAATTAGTCTGTGTGGCATAAGATGAAAAAGGTTGAAACACACTGCTCTATACAATGGTCTCCTGGGCTTAACTGTCCTTGCTCCCCACATCAGGGGTTAGCACCCCATAAGCAGTGCAGCCCAGACCCCTGACTGGCAATAAAGGGCATTTGCCGAATTGCTGCCTGGCTGACAGCTCCTGTGGGCCTCCTAAACCTTCCCAGCCTGGGAGGGGCAAATCTGAGCTGTGAGAAGGAAGGAAGGAAGGACATCTCAGCCACAGCTTCCGGCCGGAGGAAGCCATCAGACTTATGGCTCTGACTCTCAGGGCCAGCAGCAACTCTGGCTGCAGAGCTGAGCACTTTTCCTTCCCAGCTTCTGTCCTGGTCTCTTCTGCCCACTGTCTGCATCACATTCCAGCCAGACCCTGGCCCCTGACCCAGTAGGGCAGGACGTACAGAAGTTGTGAGAGCTGCACTCCACCCCCCAAAATCCAGGTTGCCAGAGACACCGGCACAGCTAGCCACTGGTACAAGCAGGGGTGGCAGGGGAACATGAAGGCCGGGGCCAGGGGTGGCGCTGAAGCCAGGGGGCTAGGAAGCCTCGTTGCCATTCACCACGGAGGGCACCACAACATCATATAGTTACAGGATCCCTACATCGGCTCCCAAAATAGCTGCTGACCTGTCTTCATGGTCCCCCTAAATCAATGTAGCCTTTGAATCCAAAGGTGGGCCCAGATTCAGGCTCGTAAGGGAGTGCCTCATTAGTACCTGAGTACGGCCTGTGGAGGTGAGCTCATCCCAGGTCCCCAGAGTGCAGAGATGATACAAACACCTGACATCACCTCTGCGTACAGGTGTGTATGTGCGCAGTGAGGGCTGTAAGGTCCGCTGCCCTCCCCGTGATACCCCCCCCCCACATACATACCCATCTAGGGCCACCAGATGCCAAGAGTATCCAGGCAGCAAAGGGGTGTATTAAAGTTGATAAGGAGGCCCCTAGGGGCAGAGAGCTAGAAAGATTTGGTGGGAGGGAGGCACCCTTGGCTTTATGCTTATGCTGGCTCAGGCTTCTCTCACTAGACTCTCAGTAACAATTTCAGGAGCGAGGCATGGGGTGTGGTACGGAATGGTCCCTCTCCCTTGCATAATGGGGGCTGCCCAGTCCTAAGCGTCAGAGGCAGAAATAGAAATAGCCCAGGTCCTGAGCTGGACTACCAGTTCTAAGTCTCTGGGGTTACACTTCTTAGAAAGCTGGGTCACATGCATTGAAGCCTTGAGCCTGACTGACAGCAGAATAAAGCTAGCTCATTCTGAGGGGCAACTCCTTAGCCATCTCTCCCCCCTCAGCAGCCCCCGCTGGCCCCTCTCCCCAAAGTGGTATGTTTTCTCCAACTTCAGACACTCACCCCCAGAAGATACTGTCTTCCGGGGCACCAGGTTCCACCACACCTCAGCGCCAATGCCCAGGCCCCACAGCCCCACTGCCAGCAGCCAGACAGCCCATTGTGGGGCCATGGCACACACCCTGGCTCTAAGCTCCAGGCCAACTGCCCTGCTGGGGGAAAAGAAGAGGGTCAGAATAGCAGCCAGAGCAAACAGACCAAAAGGGGGCCCACACGGGCCCATGCCAGGAGGCACTGACAGGACAGAAGACCTCATCAGGCCTCCCCAGGAGCCCCCCCAAGCGCCCTTGCCCCCATCCTTGGAGCAGAGATAGAGTCCCCTCTCATACCTGGTCTCAGCCTCCCCAGCCCACCCCGGGAGCCTCCAAAGGACCATGGGATCTCCCTGAAGGGGAGGAGCTGAGTGAGCTGGGGGAGTGGACACTCGAAGACACCTTCTCTGGCCTCCAGGCCCTCCCCCACTCCCTCTCCTCAACAGGAAGTTATTTAAGAAAATAAAAAGGGGACTCCCTCCCCCACACTCAGGCCTGACAGATTTGATGATTTCTTAAAATAACCTCTGGAAGCAAGGACTTGACCCTACTGGAGCTCCAGACAGCCCATTCTGGAAGGTGAACCCCCGTAGTAGTGTGAAGGGGGCATGTGGTGGGTGGGTGGTGGGAGGACTTGATGCACCAGGCCCGGGGGTACTGCCCCAGCCTCTCCCCTCCCCCAGCGCAGACAATGGCCTGGCAGAGCCAGAAACCCCACTCCACACCAAAAGGGCTGAAGCAGGCCTGCGGCTGAAAGGGCTCGGCTTTCCCGAGGCCCCTTTGTTGCCCAAGAATGGAGGCAGGAAGTGGATGGGATGGGCGTGGAAGTGACCAGCGCCTCCCCCGTTCCTCCGTCCGCCTCCTAGGGACACTGGCCCTCGGGCTGGGGGCAGTGGGACCCGAGCCGAGCTAGTCCGATGGGGGATCCCCCGGCGGCGCACTCAGGCGGGGCGCCGCGGGGCGACCAGCCTGGGCGGTGGGGGTGGCGCGAGGGGACTCCCAGTAAACCGCGGAGCGGCCCCACACAGGATCCGAGGAGCCTTTCCACTAAGGGATCGCGCCTCCCGCCCAGCCAGGCCATCTGGGTTCATTTTCGCCGCTCCAGGCCTCCGAGACCGGGCACAGAGACACAGACGCTGGTGACCTGCCCACCCCAAAACAAAGGGTCCCCTACCAAAACCGCGTCCCTGGCCCCCCTTCTCCCCTCCCCCAGGTCGGGGATTTGAATGCAAACAAAGCGGCGGCACAGGGAGCGTGGCGGAGCCTAGTCTGCGGACGCCCCCTGCCGGCCCAGGACCCTACGCGGGAAGGGCGGGGGACTGGGGGCAGGCTTGCCCGATCAGTCCCCCAACAACCCCTAGCCCTCCTTCTGCCCCTTACCCCAGGCCGCGTCGGACTCCGTCGCGCGCTCGGACGTGCCCGCTCGGACGCAGGCACCGCTGTGCCCCCACTGCCTGCCTGCACAGCGGCGCCCCCACCTCCAACTCCGCCCAGGACGGGGAGATACGGGCGACCCCAGGTTTAATGCAGGGGCACGGGGTCCTAGCGGTGGCCCCCTCACCCTTGCCCACCCTGAACAGCGGGCTCAGGGCGAGAGCTCTAGCAGGGGAAAGGGCGGCCGGCTGAGCTCGGAAGCTGGCTTTCCAGGACACCCCGCCTCCCGGGCGGAGCGGGCGGGGGGCCACGGCGGGGAAATCCGATCCCACAACATCGGCTTCGGTCCAAGCCCGCCCCAAACTTTCCGTCGGGGGTGGGGGAGCTGGGGGCAGCTCTGGGGCCTGGAGAGGATCCCGGCCCCAGACCCGAAAACCCGAGGGACCCCTCCTCTTAGCCCCTCTCCCCAGACCAGTCCGCGCCTCCGCACCCCCTGGCTGTGGGCACTGCTTGCCCCACTACGAGCCTCGGCCGGGGAGGCACGAAGGACAACTGGGCCGACAACTGTGCCACCCCTGACCTTCCCTGCGCCCCCCATACCCTGTCCCTCGCACATAAGGCGGCCCCTAGCACAGTCGGGGGACAAAGGGGCGCCCGGTGCCCCGCGGCTGCGACCCCGCGCCGCTCTAGCCTCACTCACCCTCTCCTCGCCGCTGGAGTGCCTGGGCACCGCCCTCACGTTCGGCTCCGACCCCGGGCCGCCCCCGCCCGCCTCCTCCGCGTCCCCTGCGCCACCGCCCCTCAGTCCGACTGCGCTCCCCTGAGCTCGGGCTCCCCGCGCCACCGCGGCGGGCGCCGGCTCTTTCTCTGACGGCCGCTACTCCGCCCCTCCCCTGACGTCAGCCGGCGGGCTGGTGTTCCAGAGGAGGCCGGGGGCGGGCCCCGAAGGCCAGCCCAGGAGGGGGCTGCGACCGGCCAGGCCCCGCTTCGCGCCCCGCGGTCCGGTCCCCCCACCTCCCGTCCCTGTCCCGGCCCTGCCGTCCCGCGCCTAGAAGTCGCGGATGCGCCACTGTGCCGGGAGGCGCGGCAGGGTAGGGACAGGGGGCATTGTCAGGAGGAAGCGGACTCACCCGGCCTTTCCGAAGTGTGTCCTCAGGCCCACTGCGGCCTGGGCGGCCGGGCTCGGGAAGGGGTTGAAGGGCTTTGGGGTGAGGGTCCGAGAGAGGGGCGCAGGGGAAACCCGTCTTCTTAGGGCAGACCAGAGTGGTCTGCCTTTTGACCCCAACGTCCACTGGCCCCTGCAAGACTGCACCGGCCTCCCCCCCTCCCCCCCGGTCATCCGAGACACTGCCCTTGCTTTTCGCTCTACGGGCGCAGGGACCACTCAGCGCCCCTTGCCCAGCTCCCGGTAGCCACCTTCTACCCCCTGGGCCTAGCTAGAACCTCCTCCCAGGGAATAACTCCTGGAGCCACTAATAGGCTGACTAACAAGCGACATGAGCTCTGATGTTTGGATGAAAGGGGCTGAGGGCAGCTATGCTGGAGATCTACCACCTTCAGAACCGCCAGTCTCCGCCCACAGCCACTCCTAGAAGTAACTGGTAGCTCTGGACTCCTGGGTGTCTTTGAACTGGGAAGGTGCACAGAGGAACCCCAGAGAGGCCAGCACCCGGAGACAGATTACACCTCGGCTAGGGCAGAGGTGAAAAGGCAGGCTGGAGGCCCGGACGCTCGGGTGGTTGCCTGCCAGCCCAGCAGGGGAGGAAAGCTTTAGGGCCCTGTGCAGCAGATCTGGATTATAGATCAGTCCAGACAGAAGCTTTTGTTCTGAGTTAAGACTTGGCATCTGAGAGCAGAGACCAGAGAGTGGTAGAGATAACCGAGGAGGCAGCCCAGTCTGGGTTCAGTAACAACTAGGTCTTTGCGGGTGCAAATAAAGGGCCCTTCTCCCATGTTGGCCAAAGACATATTTCCCAGCTCCTTTCACCAGAGAAAAAGCTGTGATCTTAGAGATACCGGAGATAGGGAGTGAGCCAGCCAACTATTAGCATGGGGTGGGCAGTAGGCTCTCCACCTCAGCAGACTGAGAGGGAAAGGAAGAAGTCACACCCAGTGTCTATTTAGGTGAAGATGGGCTATAAGCAGAGCCCTTCACCTTTGTTCTGTGCTGTAGACTCTGCAACCTGCCTCCACTACATTTTCTTCTGCTCCACCCTCAAGACCACTTTTGCAAAACTGGGTATTGTTTTTCTCATTTTGTAGATAAAATGAGTCTCAGAGAGAACTGCTCCAAGTCACATAGATACTAATAGGGGAGAATGTTAAATCAGGCCCTGGGACTCCCGCCATCTTTACACTAAGTCACAGTGGATCCTGACAACTTTGGGGCCCCAAATGTTCCATTTCCTGCAGGTTTGCCTCACCTTCCAGCCCTCCGGCACAACCCGCCCCCCCCTTCTAGGTATAAGGGTTACTAGGCAGAGACTTGAGCTCCTGGCTGCACCTGCAAGATGGCCCCAGTGGAAAGTTTAAAAAAGGTGGTTTGGTTTCATTGGCAGGGACAGTCTTCCATTCCTCAAGGCAGGCTTCTGTAGTCTAATAACAGAGTCAAGGGAGCCCTTCTCTTCCAAAGGCTCCCCAAAGATAAGGCTGCAACTCTCCACACCCCTTTTCCACCTGTGCCCATTTCCTGCTGCGTTCTATTCATTTCCAGTACTGGCCTTTTCCATGGGTGGGTGGGCAGGGGATAAAGTTTCCTGCATGACTACTTGCTTATGATTCATACTTTTTAATATAAGCACAACTGGTCAAAAATGAGATTCTTAGGTCTTAAATTAGGAAACAAAATTACACATACACACACACACACACCCTAAAAAGGCTCCTGTACCTACCAACCTCCCTGGAGCTCCCTGGGCATATTCTGTGGAAGGTACCCACCCTCAGCCTTGGGCCCTGACACTCCTACTTCCTCATTTACTCAACTGCTTGTGGCCAAGTCAAGGAAAAACAGAGAGGTGTTTAAATGCCTTCTGAGTTTTGCTCTGGATACAGTAGCAGCTGAGGCTGGCCCCTAGAAGTGGGCTCAGGAGTCCAACCTAAAAAGCAAGGTTCCTCTCTCCCCTACATATTGATCCTATGCTATAGTGGCCCTCGTTTGAACTTCCTACTCCTTAGCTCTTCTGAGGCAGTTTCTGACCAGAGGGGCCAGGCTTCATACTGGGGTTCTCTAGACAACCCTGCCTGGCTACTTCCCTGGGAGCCTAGAACTGCTGTCAAGCCACTGGGGGAAATGAAAAAGCCTGGGTCAGTCACCCTTCAGGGATCTTTCTGAGGGCCTAGGGACTGAGGTCATTGGGGACATAGGAAAAGGACTTCCTTTCTACTTCCTCCTGAAGGAGAGTTATCAAAATCACCCACCTGGGACGCCTTTCCCTTCCCAGCCCCTCCCTGCCACCATAGCAAAAGGAAGCAGGAAAACATCCGTCACCACAACCCCGGATGCCGCTTTTCCAGGGGCTTCAGTCAGGATATCCCTGAAGCCTTTCCCCAGGGGCTTGTAGCTGGAAAGGAAAAGTGGTGAAGACACCAGCACCATTGTGAAATTCTTGGCCTAGAGGAGGCTGAGTCCATAACTCGTCCCAGACTAGTTTTAGAAGATATGGTCTGCCTGTGGCCAGTTCCAAGGGGGCCCATTACATGTCCCAGGGGATGGTGTACACCCTTGGGTGACCTCAAACCACACCTCTGCTCAGGTTACAGCTAGTCTCTGGAGGGACTGGGTTGACACCAACACCTCCTCTCTCCTTGGTGTCTATTTCTCCCCTGGAGATGAGTGTGTTTGAGGCAGGGCTTGAGAACTGAGACTGGGGAACAGGGCTCCAGGCTGGTCTGCTGAAGGACAGCTCCATCCCTTTCTCTTCCCTTTCTCATGGCCCCATGGGGCAGCTTAGAGACCTGGAAACTGCTGCCCCCCCCCTCCATCCTTTAGACCTCCCTACTCCGTTCTCTGCCCTTGGCAGTGAAACAAAGAAGGGAAATTGCAAAGGTGATTTCCAGGTTTCCAGAGCAAACTGAATGGCTGCAGTTTAACTGCCAGGATGTGCAGTGTCAGAAGTGGGCAGCCCTGAGGGAGGGTGCAGGAGGTTGGCTCACCAGAGCCTCTCTGATACATAATCGGAGTATCTCAGACCTACCCAATGCCTCTGAGGCCTCAGTGGTGCCCCGGCCAAGGGGGCCTGAGATGCAGCCAGGAACAGAAACCAGAACTCTCAGTCAAGTCACCTGGGCATCCAAGTCACCCTGGCGGAGGATTTCTCCCGCCCCTCCCTTGGCAAAGGCTGCGAGGCAGGGAGGCATCCTGCGTGGTACCCGGCCTCCTGAATTATAGATGCCCCCTGGCTCCCAGCATCTGGGGCCCAGCAAGGGAGGCAGTGTCTTAAACAGGCTCAGGAAGTGATGGGGGACACTGTAGGTCTCCAAATTGAGCTACTTGCAGTGAAGATCCTTTATTGTGGGGGAGCCTTTCTCCTAGTTAGCCCACCCTCCCCGATCTCTGTGGCTGGAAAGAGCAAAGGACAGGGACACACCGGCAGAGAAAGCCGAAGTACCCACCGTGGCGATGTTCCACAGGCGGACGCTAAGGCTAAACCACGGAGCGGGCACGGGCCAGGGGGTCAGGCATCATCGTTCCTCTCTGCTTCCTCTCTGCTTCTGTGGCCCCCACAAAACCCATTCCAACCCGGAAAGAGTCAGGAGTGGCCAGAGACTAGAAATGGATTCTCAGGATTGGAGGCGTGGACAGAGGGAGACAAATGAACACCCAGGTGCTTCCTCGGGTACAGCCTGTGGCAACCCCATTCACTTCTCGAGGAGGGAACAGGTGAAGGACATCCAGCTCCCATTGGGGATCAGCACCCTCAAAACTTCCCTCAGGTAAGGCTGAGGGAAGCGATGGCAGTATCGGGAACTGTGACACATCCCCCCCACACTTATAAGTCTAGAGAGTTGATTTCAGAGCTCAACAACAGACAACTGAGTGTGATTACAGCTTTGATCCACTGTCTCACTCTGGGGAATCTTCCCCAGTGGGGTGGGAGTGGGCAATGGTCCCAGACTGGGTCCAAACACACGTCCCCCAGCCAGGTGCCAGGGGGTTTCTGGGGCCACAGGAACAACTGATCCTCCTCGGAGATTTACAGACGGCCCCCCGCTGTGGGGCGGCAGGGGCTGAGTCCCAGTCACATGACTGTTTGAGGTGAGCATTCAGCAAACCGCATGCTGGGCAGGAGACCTCAGCACAGGGATTGCAGGAACTCACCTGAACCACTGATGTGAAATTGACTTTAGTGCGCACAAAGAAACCTCACGTCGGTGACAGGGAGAGGAAGGAGGGCGGGAGGACTGCAGCCTGGGAGGGCCTTGGGGGAAGAGGACGTGCCGGGCGGGGAAGGACAGCTGTGGCTGTGGGGTGGGCAGGCAGGGAGAGGCAGGGTCCCTTGCCGGTGGGGGTCAGGGCAGTGGTGGAAGAGGGCTCTTGGTTCATCAGACTGGTCCTCCTCTGGCCTCCATTCTTTGCTCCTTCCAGTTCTGTAGGTCCTGTTCACTCCCTGCCAGAGCCAAGAGCCACGGGCCACTCCTACCCTGCTCCATTAGCCGTCTTCCCAGGGGTGGCAGTACTGGGCCTGTGGCAAGGTGAAAAATAGGGTGTGGTAGCCCCGGGCCCTGACCTTCTCCAGTTCTCCAGTGTCCATGCAGCATCCACGACAGCCCTCCTCTGTGCCAGATCCTGAGTGACAGGACTCCCGGGGCTCACCACAGGCAAGGACAGCAGGGCGGCAGGCCACAGGGCCACACCTCTGCCTGGGTTCCCTCCACTCACTGCTCACAGCCCCAGGGCAGTGTGAAAGAAAGGTAAGGACAGCCTCCCGGCTTGGCCAGGACACAAATCACTTTTCCTTCTTTTCATGACAAACAGTTTCCCACCAAAAGACTAGTGTGATCTAGTTCCTTGGGGACTGAGGGTGAGGTTTGCTCTCCAGCTTTCTCAGGGACTTGCGAAATCTGAGACCCAAGCCACAGCCTGTGGCAACATGTCAGCCCCAAGTCAGAGGTTACAGGCGAAGGACCAGCTCACGGAAGGCAGAGGAAGGGCGAGCCGAGGAGCACTGTGGAGGGTGGGTGCTCACTGCCACGGAGGGCTGGGGGCCCAGGAGGGAAGTGCCCCTGAGCCAGCCGGTGCTGTTTGTCAGAGGGATGGAGGCCAGAGGGAGGATGCCAGGGTAGGCGGGGCGGGACTGTGCTTAAAAGTCTGCAGGCATGGGAGCCAGGCTGGCCCTGCGCCTCGGTTCTGACATTTACATACCGCCTGCCTGCGTGATGGGGCAAGCTGTTTAACCTCTCAGTGACTCCGGTTAGCTTGCTCATCTGCAAAATGGGGTCATAATAACAACCTGCCTCTTGGGGGTTGTGTAGAGTCATGTAGAAAATGGCCTCATTCAATTAGTATTAGCTATAAATGTTATCATCTGGAGTCTGAAAAAATAAGGGTATGGAGAAACTGGAGGGGCCAGGGCAGCCTGGGAAGGTTCCTCCTAGCTGAGTAGGAAGCCAGCTTCAGGCCTGCAGGACAAGTAGGCAGGGGGTGGACAGCTGGTGCCTCTGGTGTCCTTTCCTGGCACTGCTCACGGTAAACTGGTCCTCCCAGCCCAGCATATCCCCTCTCCAGGGCAGTTTCTCTTTGCATTTGCTTGGCTGAGGCTTCTCTGTAACCCCCCACCACATATCCACACTGGGTATCTGACTCGATAAGGATGAAGGGCCTCCAGGCGGCTCCCCTCCCCCCACATCACCCTCTCCACCGGTTTCCCAGCCAGAAGCCCAGAAGTGTAGCAGCTGCAGTGGGGGTGGATGCGCGCTCTGGCTCTGGTCAGCCGCCTCACCACTTCCCGCCCCTCTTAGGTCAGGGGGCTACAAAGGGCACCACCTGGGGCTGCCAGTGGGACAGCAGCTCCTGCCAGCGGATGTAGGTCTGGGCAGCTAGATCCTTGAGTTTGGTCCGGTGCATGGCCCGGGGGCTCTCCCGGATGTGGGTGCTGATGTGGCAGTCCAACTGCAAACACAGCAGCTGCAACTCTCCCTGAAGAGACAACCGTGGAGGGAGGGGGCGGCCCGTCCGGTGCAGCCACAGTCGGGGAAGAGGAGGAACAGAGTCAGAGAAGAAGAGGGACGCATATGAGTGACTGCTCAGAAGTTGGGCGGGAAAGGGAGGAGAGGGACTGGGCAAGTGCTGGGGGCATGGGTTGAGAAGGCCCCGTGGGGTGCTGGGAGCCCCTTTTTGTACTTCCTGACAGCTGGCTGGGCGCCAACCCAGCTGATTGTAGCCCATCCTCTTGGGAGACTCACCCACTGGTCTGGAGTAATGTCTTGGCAGCTGACCACCACCCCAGCAAGTGTCAGAAGGCTGTGACACAGGTAGCAGACCTGGAGAGAGAGCACAGGAGACAGGTGTCCCTAAGTCCCTCACCCCCTGTCCTCGTTCCCAAGCCCTGGTGGGTGAGGGCTGGGCTTCCAGCCCGTTTCCTGGAAGGCGTCTTCAAGAAGGTTTCTGAGCCCCACTCACTCAAAGCTCTCCCTCTGGTGAATGACCTTCCTTCTTTCCTTCAGAAAAGAAGAAACCCAACTACAACCCCATACTGTACCCAGTCCTGTCCTGGGGCTCTAGCAGAGAAAGCCATTAGAGAGAGGGCCAGTCCACTCTGACCTCTGCTCTGCTCCTTGAGACACCCACCTACATGTGTGAGCGCTGTGACCAGGTCCCACTCCCCTCTCTGGTGGATGTGGTCCGTGGGTGCCCCCTTATCCCTTGGCGGAATACCACCTGCATAGACAGATGTGCAGTACCATCCCATCGGGACAGTCAAACCATGCTGACACAAGAAGGCAGGCGAGGAGAGGGGAGGCAGAGGGTTGGTTTTGGCTGAGCATTTGCATGCCTGACCCACCAATTCACACCCTTGCTCTCGCCCACTGGACACTGAGGGGTGAAAACAGGACAAAGGCTAATTCCACCTGCTCAGAGAGTGGCTTGATCCCAGGTGCTCTTACATGCTCTTGGTGCCCATCCATTTATGGAACATTCACCTGCTGTGCAGAGAAAATGAGGTACGGGAGCACTCCAAAAACAGGCAAGGCCCTGGTGTGAGGACAGTCTGCTCCTTGCACTCTGAGGTCCTGTGTGCAGGCTGCGTCCCACCTTGGACTCCTTATGTCTGAGATAGGGAGGGTGGCAGGAGACAGCCCACAGGCCCACCACTGTGCACCTGGCAGATAACCAGCCCTGAGGCTGAGCTCGGAGGGAGAGGTGGGCTCCAGCAATGGGGCTGGAACTCAGGGAGCCCAAGGCTCCCCTGTTCCCCAACTTTCCCTGCCCTATTCACCCTCTCCCTTAGAGCACCAGGTGGTGCCCCAGAAACTGGGAAGCCTCTTTGCATGGACTCAAAGGCCTCCTTAGGCCAGAAGCTAGAACCACTTTGGAGAGCACCAGCCTTGGCATTATAGAATACAGTGTTCTTGAACTCAAATACTGCAGTGCAAATTCCTGAGGAGAGAGGCCACTTGCTCCCTCACCCAGCAGCGCCTGCCCTGCCCAGACCCAGCCTGCTTTTCAGCCCATGGCCGAGGCTACCCCCAGGGGGCCTGACCCCACAGCCTGGCCATGTTGGGCTGCACAGCGCACCACCGGCAGAGAGAAGACATGGTGGGAGAAAACCTGGGGAGTCCTGGGCCTGGGCACACCTGGCCTCTCTGAGCCAGCACCTGCCAGTGCCCACAGTCCCCCTACAAGCTGGCTCACCAGGGAACTGACTTGCTAGCAATCCCTTGCTCCCTAGGGGCTCCCTGCCCCCAGGCTGGCCTTGTCCTTTGGAGGCAGGGCCACAGCATTTGGAACCTCCCCAACCCTGAACATAAAGCAGGCTCAGGCCTGTGTGCCAGACACTGTACTTGAACTAAGACACAGCCACAAACACTCAGACATTAGAGGGAGAACAATACTTCAGGAAGGCAATCATTTGGTCAACAAATCCTGAATTTCAGCCTCCCCAGGGAGCAAAAGGAGAAAGGGTCCTTCCAAGTTTGGGGGTGGGAGGTGTGGGGGGGCAGTGTTGGGGGCCAGTGTATGCAGCTCAGAAGGTTCGAGGAGGAGGTTACTAAGCCAAACGAGGCTTCTGAAGAACGGTGAGGTCTGTGGTGAGGTCAGCCCTGTGAGGCTGGGGCAGCGCTGAGATTACAGCACCAGACAGATGTGGGGGGGGGGGGCGCTGATTCGAGGAAACAGGCACTATGGGGTACTGCCTGCCAGGCAGCTGGCCAGGGTGGAGCAGGAGAGGGGGCACCCTGAGGACAGGGCTGGCACAGGGGTCTGGACAATAGCAGGTAGTGGAGAGCAGGGAGGCTGGCTTGAGTCACCCCAAGATTACCTCAGGTATGCAGGTTGTTTTGGGCTGAAGGCAACTTTAGCCTCAGGCTCAAGAGAATCTTCTGCTCCTCCTTTTAACTACCTGGAAGAACTTGAATTAGGGGCCTTGCCTAATGTGACCTATATATAGGTCAAAAGCAATCATTTCTTCTGGACCCATCTATAGCTCAGGGCAAACATTTTCCAGATGTCCGTTCTTATTCTGCAATGACCCTTGGAAGGCCCAAGGTGCACTGCCTCATCCCTAGCTCAGAATGTCCTCTGTCCCTCAGCCCCCCTTTCTGTCCCTGAACCTCTCCTGCCTATGGGTCTCCCACTCGCTCCCCTTCCCTGCGGTTCCCATACACATGTATGTATTAAGTTCGTTTTTTTTCTCTTGTTAATCTGTCTCATGTCTATTTGATTATGAGACCACCTTGAGGATAGAGGAAAGTTCGTCCCTTCCAGACACAGGGGACAGGCTGGGAGCACCTGAGGGAAGCCAGGCACCAGTGAAGCCACAGACGCCCCACTCCCACGTCCCACATGGAATGCCCCAGAGTGACAATGTGGCTGTGAGGGAAAGATGATAGAATGTCCTTCTTATTCTTTTTTTCTTAAGATTATTTCTCTACAATGTGTGTGCTCTACTCATATGATCAGAATACAATGAAAGTTGTTAAAAATGAATTTTAAATAAGACAGTGACAACTAGAATTGACTAAATCTAGTTGGCTTTGGGGTGGGTGTGGGGCAGGGGAGAGGGACATGACCTTGGAAAGAAGCAGCGCCCTGGGGACTGACACTCCTCTTTGAGAGGGCATTGAGCAAGCTGAGGGCGAGGTGGCAGGAGACACCAAAGAAAATATTCGAGGGCCGTGGTCTGAGGGTGACTGGGAAAGGAGCCCGTCTGCAGGGGCGGGGGCGAAGAGGCAGAGAAAGGGGTTAGCTCTCAGCACTTTCATTGGTTAATGGTCCCAAGTGCTGAGGTGGGGGCAGTGGCTTTTTTTGGTCTGCCCCGCAAGCTTAGGTGGAGGTCCCTGCAATTCAGCTTCCCACCCCCTCCCCAGCTGTGCACAAAAAGCCAGGGGCTAAAAGAGACCTCAAGCCAGCCTGGATGGGTGCCTGGGGCACAGAGTGTGAGGGTGGGCCCAGGATCTGGGGGATGCGCTGCAGGAAAATCTGCCAGGAGAGGAACAAAAGGCACTAGTTGTATGCAAGTTCCGCCACTTCGTTCTTATGCTGATCCCCATCACTGACTCTGGAGGGAAACCTCCCGGGGAAACCTATTCTGAACGTGTTCTGCGGGCTGGGAGTGGTAACAGCAAGAAGGAAATGGTAGCTCCTAAGAAAGGCCCCATTAACCTCATTGTATTAGACGGTTTCCCAAAGGGGAAGTCACCTGCCCGCCACCTGGAAGAGGATGACCCCCCGACTGGGGCTCAGTGAGGGGAGGCCCTTTAAGGAAGATTTGACTCCACTTACGGGGATAAGGTTCTGAAACCAAGGGACCTTATGACTTGGATTAAATTTAGTTTTAAAACCCAGCACTGGCAGTCATTTCTCCGCATACATACCCCGCAGAGACCTAGCTTTCCCCCCAGTGATCAGGAGCCCCTGAGGCAGTAGAAGACAGTGTCCTGGGTCTGACTAGTGACCACAGGTCTGGACCTCTAGCGGGCTAAAGAGAACATCTTTTTTTTTAATTGTATTTTTTTCTATTACCATTTATCCCCCTTATACCCTTCCCCCTCCAAAGATAACATCTTGACGTAAATTTTGTTTTAGCTACTCTGCCCTAAAATGGAATTACCCCCTGGCTGTGGTGAAACCAGACAGAGGGATGCAGAGCAGGCCTCAGAGCTACCCTCCAGACCGAAGAGGTGGTTCACCACCCTCATCTACCCTCTGACCAGTGAGCTCCAGCTCGACCCAAACACCTAATCCGCAGTCTCCCGTGACTTTGCCCTATGTAATCTGCAACCTGCACCCCACTGGGGAGTCAGGATTCAACATTAAACTATCTTCTTTTGTGGGGGTCCAGAACGAGTCACCCCAAGATGTACCTCAGTGGTATGCAGAGTGTTTGGAGTTAAAGGCAACCTAGCCCAAGGCTCAGGAGAAATTTTGCCCCCATCCATAACTGCATAAAAGAATTTGAATTAGAAGCGTGGCCCATATCAGCAATCATCTTCCCCACCCACCTGTAGGGCAGGGCAAACTTTTCTGTACTAAACATCTGCTCCTCTCATCCTGCAGTGACTCTCTGAAGACCCCAGTATACATTATGTACCTACTCCCCCTTTCTATCTCTAAACCTCTCTTGCACGTGGGGTCTCTGACTCTTGTGTATGTGGGGTTCCCATATGTATGTATTAAATTTGGTAACCTGCCTCGAGTCTATTTGATTATTAGACCAGCCAGAAGTCATGAACTTTGAGAGCAGAGAAGTTTGTTCCTCCTCCACACTTTCTATGCTGGCAACTCTTCCGACCTGTGCATTTCTTTGGGACAGTGCACGCGGGCAGAAGGACTCAAACACTGGGGTCCTTGCAACAGTTCCCCAGAGTGATGCACAGAGTGATGATGGTCAGAGTCATCATGAACAGTGTGTGCAGTGGTGCTCTTGGGGAGAAAAAGGCTTAATTATGTGCATAGGACGAGCTCAGACCATGTCCTCCCCTCACTTCCTAGAGACCCGAAGTCTCAGCGTTAAGGAGAGGGTCCAACCTCGTCCAGACAAAAGCACTGGGTGCGTGCATGTCCTCTTCTGAACCCCCAGTCTCCCAGACTCCTCCCCACGTCCTGTTTTGGTGCTGCTCAGAGCAGCAGACATTAGTGGGCACTGGACTCAGGCTTGGAGGAGGCCGGACCTGAGTCTCCATGCTCTGACAGCGCCACTGCTGCCTGGGGGACCAGAGGCTGTCCAGGGAGCGCCAGCTGGGGCGAGAGTGAGCCGTTGCCAGCAGGACACACACTGAACAGCCAGGTATGAGCACTGCGTTTCCTGCTCCAGTCGCATTGT